TTAACTAAAAGGAACTCATAAAGTTGAAGACTGTAGAGCTACCATGATTTCTAAACCCATAGTTTTTGTCAAAACGATAAATATGAAAAATGCATAATTTACTTTTTCGCTGGCTTTGTATTCAAATATTGCTTTCACTTGTGTTCCAAAACCAATTATCATTAATCATCAGTCAAATATCCCAATTTCCCAGTCATAATCTGTCTCCCCAAAGAACTCACAAGTCTAATTACTTGATTTACTTAGCTTTAATGAAGCAAATAGATAAGGATGAACACAAACAAGAAATCCTTTCAACACATAAGAAATAAAAACTTAAGCAATATACAATACTCAATTATATATATAATATCCATCATCAAATATGGCTAAGTGATTGCTAACCAGCCAATAGCCTCAACATCCCTACAACACCAAAAATTGTATATATCTTAGGAACACGAAGCGAGCTGCATTCCGGAACCTCATCTGTCAAAGCAAGACAATAAAGAGAAAAACACATTAAAAAAGACATCAATCAGTAACGAATAACTGAAAATCACCAAAGTAAGACCAATACGATAACAAAAGAACCTACCGATGAGCTTCATGGAGCCATCGACTCGACTAACAGCCAAAGAAGAACCAGAAGATCCATCCGTAGGCTCAATCACAAACTGATCCGGAAATGCCCAGAGCCGCATGCGCGTATACAGCTTCTGGACAGAATCTGCCTTCTCCATCATTATTGAAACTCGAACTCGCTGAAAACAACACATTCGAATAAGCAACTAACTACTACATTCACGAGGAATCATCAATTATCAGCGATTCAAATCTTAATTTATAGTTTGAGCTTCCTACGGCTTGACGGATCAATCGGAGCGAAAAAAAAACTATACTCGAACCACTCAGAACAGAGAACTAGTTGAGTTCGATCCAATCTAAATAAAAAAAAAAACTAGTTTCCCGCTAAGAGTAGATAGCGTGATTTGGTTCCTGGAATTTTCTGGCGCTTTCTGGGTGAAGAAAATGAAGGAGGGATTGATGAATAAGTTTACCTGGTTGGCAAGATCGAAGAAGGAGGTGAAGATTAAGACCCAAATTCGAATTAGCGTTGGGCTCTTAATACGTGAAGTGCGGGACTGCAACGAAAAAGGAATTATGCTCCAACGTGCAATATTCCTTTTTCCTTTTTAAAGCTAACGGCGTGTTTGGAAGCTTCGGAACGGGACACAATTGCGATGGGCAAAATCCTTGTTGGAATTGGTGTTGTCCAAATGCGTCTTTAGGACTGAAAGTTGGACTGGTTCCGCGGAAACGGAGCCAGGGGAAGTGTGTGCTCCTTACACGTGGTGGTTGATTAGATGTCTGTGAGAGCGTAGCCAAATACTGCGGAGAACCCTATGATGTGGTCAATAGACGAGGGTGAATGGCTATGACATGAGATCATAATCGTCGTTCGATCTGATGAATACTTCACTCTGACTCAATGGTTGACTTTTGCATTAATGGTTATTATTCGACTCGCTTTTTTCTTAGATACATTTTTCTTCTTTTGGAGAAATCAAAATCAAAAGAAAGGACACAGTTCCTTTAAAAGGAGAAAATATACTTTACGGAATAAAGTGCATCATAATGTTGATTAAGATAATCGGTTCAAAATTATGTCAATCAAAATATATATAGCATTGAGTGTTGCGTACGCTACCTATTAGTTTCGTAGTTTATTTATTCATTAATTAATATGTTGATAAATAAGTTGATGATGAATATTTTACCGGTCTTTGTTACTTTTATATTATTTATAGAAATATAGATTGAAGTTTCTTAAAAACATTAATTAATTTTGAAGTTTCTATTTTACCAATGGTCCATATATTGTAGTTTTTTCGGTTAAAATATGATTTGGAATATAGGCAGAGTTCTTGATTCATGGCCTATACACTAATTCTAACTATTTTTTAAAAAATTCTTTTTAAGCAATCCTCAAAACTTCCTCTTAAGTGAGTCAGAATTAATGTTAAGTGAGTTTAACCTATTATAAAATTTTAATTAACTTTTAAAAATAATATTAATTAGAAAAAAAAAATTCATCTCCCTATATTCCCATGATTATAACAAAAAATTTGTTTTGTCTTTTTCAGATTATATAATTTTTAAATAATAAATGATTTTCAAATTATATAATTTCAAAATTATTTATTTAAAAGAAATAATTTTAAATTGCATAAAGTAAAAAACGATTTACGATTCTAAATATATGGTTCTAAAAATATATTTAACTTAAATATAAAATTATATATATTATATTATGCGTGAGTGAATTTTATTTTAATTCTATTATTATAAAGATACTCTTATCTATAATCATAAATATCATTTTCAATTGGGTTAAATATGTTTTTAGTCCCTAAACTATTGACCGTTTTTGGTTTTCGTCCCTCTTCGAAAATAAGATACAATTTGGTCCTCATTCTTTAGAAAAACGTTCGTTTTAGTCCTCAAAATTTTGTTTTTAGTCCTCAAAACGTTCGTTTTTTCGACTAAAACGAACGTTTTTTAAAAATTGAGGACTAAATTGTACCTTACTTTGGAAGAGGGACGAAAACCAGAAACGGTCAATAGTTTAGGGACTAAAAACATATTTAACCCTTTTCAATTTATGAACACAAAATATACTAAAGAAAACTTAATTATGGTGAAAGCACTTCTGAGATAAAATTGACCAAGGGAGAGCATGTGTAAACTTAGCAATAAAATATACCTATAAATATAATACTATTTGTATTTTTACAAATGTAATGTTATGAAGTAAATGTGCGGGGATAGCTCAGTTGGGAGAGCGTCAGACTGAAGATCTGAAGGTCACGTGTTCGATCCACGTTCACCGCATTTTTTAATTTTATTTTTCCTTTATCTAGGCTTGGGCCTATGAATGATTCATTACGTTGGCAGAACACGAGATTTTTGTTGATCCATTTTTTATTTAGCCTAGTTGATTTGACCGAAAGATTATACGAATCAGGGTCACTTATTTTCAAGCAAGTACTAAATTTTCATTACTTTGTAGTTTTATCGTTTAATAATTGTAAAAGTGGTACAGTTTCTTGTGTAAAGTTATTTATTAATTAGTTATAGATGAAGTAATACGTAGAAAAATATGAAGTAACGGCGGAGCCTTTTTCAATTTTTATCAAGTTTAGGTTTTCAATAATTCATTATTTCTTTTCAATGAGCATGAACACTAATAAGTTGAACTAATGCTTCAAATCAATTTGAAGATGGACAAACAAGAGAAACACAATAAATAAAAGTTAAAATCACACATTAATGTATATACTAATTGTAATAAGGTAAAAAAATTCTAATAGATACTTAAATAAGACAAACGAAACTCAATGATATATGAAATAAAATATATCCTCCAAACTAGTTTCTTTGCACATATTTGTAAATGATATACTAATTGTTTTTTTCTTCTTCATTCTCTTTTACTAGTTCTCATTACTTTTGTTTTTCTCACAATATGCACTCATAACTATTGTCTTTTTTTAACTCAATAAAAATATATCTCTTTTTCTTAATTAAATATGTGAATCTAATAAATTAGTAACTCATCTAACAAATCTCTCATTTACCAATTAATTGAGTCATATTAAATTTAATGAGCATTCTCTTTTTGGAGATATAAGTTTTCTTGGAAGTAAAATCTTTATTATCATATTCGACTCATTTTCGTTAATGTTGATTTTTCTAATGATAATTATTCCATCTCTAATACATCTCGCATGCAGTAATATTTTTACTTCAATATGCTTTGATCTTGAATACAAGGTTGAGATTGCTAATGAAAAATACAAAAAATCTTGAAATTACCGATAGATTTTTATCGATGAATATATTTTTATCGGTAATGCATATTATACTTACTGGCGGATTTTTCCGTCGGTAAATGAGACATGCATTACACATGTGACAATTTTTCGACATATTTTTTCATCGGTAAATTCGTCGGTAACATGGGATAGAATTTTCTCGCCCATTTTTTTATTTATCGACGTAAATACCGATAAAAAGTTTTCGTCAGTAATTACCGACGACACTATCGACAGTTTGGCCGTTAGTAATTTACTGACGGAACAAAAAATATCGATAAATTTGTCGATATTTAAGTACATCCTAAAAGCTCAATCGAGATCCCTCCAAGGATAATCAACTTAAGCTTGGGCTTGGAGAATGGAAGAAGAAGAAAGACTTCAAGGACTTGTACTCCATTAGAAGATGTATTTTCAAGCTTGTTGTTACTTTCTCTTAAGTCTTGTAAATGTGTAATATAGTTCATTTTATGTCTTTTATTTGGCCAAGAACTTTGTTTAGGTTTGTTTAGAATACTTGATGCCCTTAAGAGTAGCTTAGAGCATCATTAGTGTCTTAATAAAGTACTTAGCGCCTAAATGAGTTTTATTTTGAGTTTGGAAGGGGTTAGTTATAAGGAGCCTCTTCATTTAATGCTTTGACCAAGTTAGTTAAAGCATCCTCATTTAATGCTTTGACTAGTTAGTTACAAGACTTCCCATTTAATAATATAGATTGTTTGACTAAGTTAGTTATAAGCATACACATTTAATGTTTTGGCTCCTCCATGAAATGCTTTAGGCTCCTTTTTGTACTTTAGCCTTCTCCTTCATCTATACAAGGAGAGACACCCTATGTATAATTCTTAGAACTTGATTGAATGTAAAAATACTTTGCCAAATTTGCAAATCTTCTCTTCTTGAATTCTCACTTAAGATAGGTATTCTATTAGGGTGTGTTTACTTTGGAGGAATGATTTGGAGGAATGATTTGGAGGAGAGTGAGTGAATGAATTTGAGGATAAATTAATGATTATTTATTTAAGTGGATTTGGAGGTGAGTGAGAATGGATCTGAAAGTAAAATTTGTAAGAATTAATATAGGATTTGACCGATGTGACATATAAAAAAANTGATTGCCCAAACTGGAGTCTAGCATTTAATATTAAGTTCTGAAGAGAAGTCAGGTATGTAAACCAGATCAACAAAATCAGATTTCATATCAATATCAAAATCACAAGTACAAGCACTGAATACGGAGGCAGGGAGTAGGAACTTGCTTATAGCAAAAGCCACAATGATAAATTAACTAAAAGGAACTCATAAAGTTGAAGACTGTAGAGCTACCATGATTTCTAAACCCATAGTTTTTGTCAAAACGATAAATATGAAAAATGCATAATTTACTTTTTCGCTGGCTTTGTATTCAAATATTGCTTTCACTTGTGTTCCAAAACCAATTATCATTAATCATCAGTCAAATATCCCAATTTCCCAGTCATAATCTGTCTCCCCAAAGAACTCACTAGTCTAATTACTTGATTTACTTAGCTTTAATGAAGCAAATAGATAAGGATGAACACCAACAAGAAATCCTTTCAACACATAAGAAATAAAAACTTAAGCAATATACAATACTCAATTATATGTATAATATCCATCATCAAATATGGCTAAGTGATTGCTAACCAGCCAATAGCCTCAACATCCCTACAACACCAAAAATTGTATATATCTTAGGAACACGAAGCGAGCTGCATTCCGGAACCTCATCTGTCAAAGCAAGACAATAAAGAGAAAAACACATTAAAAAAGACATCAATCAGTAACGAATAACTGAAAATCACCAAAGTAAGACCAATACGATAACAAAAGCACGAAGAGAAGTAACAAAAGAACCTACCGATGAGCTTCATGGAGCCATCGACTCGACTAACAGCCAAAGAAGAACCAGAAGATCCATCCGTAGGCTCAATCACAAACTGATCCGGAAATGCCCAGAGCCGCATGCGCGTATACAGCTTCTGGACAGAATCTGCCTTCTCCATCATTATTGAAACTCGAACTCGCTGAAAACAACACATTCGAATAAGCAACTAACTACTACATTCACGAGGAATCATCAATTATCAGCGATTCAAATCTTAATTTATAGTTTGAGCTTCCTACGGCTTGACGGATCAATCGGAGCGAAAAAAAAACTATACTCGAACCACTCAGAACAGAGAACTAGTTGAGTTCGATCCAATCTAAATAAAAAAAAAAACTAGTTTCCCGCTAAGAGTAGATAGCGTGATTTGGTTCCTGGAATTTTCTGGCGCTTTCTGGGTGAAGAAAATGAAGGAGGGATTGATGAATAAGTTTACCTGGTTGGCAAGATCGAAGAAGGAGGTGAAGATTAAGACCCAAATTCGAATTAGCGTTGGGCTCTTAATACGTGAAGTGCGGGACTGCAACGAAAAAGGAATTATGCTCCAACGTGCAATATTCCTTTTTCCTTTTTAAAGCTAACGGCGTGTTTGGAAGCTTCGGAACGGGACACAATTGCGATGGGCAAAATCCTTGTTGGAATTGGTGTTGTCCAAATGCGTCTTTAGGACTGAAAGTTGGACTGGTTCCGCGGAAACGGAGCCAGGGGAAGTGTGTGCTCCTTACACGTGGTGGTTGATTAGATGTCTGTGAGAGCGTAGCCAAATACTGCGGAGAACCCTATGATGTGGTCAATAGACGAGGGTGAATGGCTATGACATGAGATCATAATCGTCGTTCGATCTGATGAATACTTCACTCTGACTCAATGGTTGACTTTTGCATTAATGGTTATTATTCGACTCGCTTTTTTCTTAGATACATTTTTCTTCTTTTGGAGAAATCAAAATCAAAAGAAAGGACACAGTTCCTTTAAAAGGAGAAAATATACTTTACGGAATAAAGTGCATCATAATGTTGATTAAGATAATCGGTTCAAAATTATGTCAATCAAAATATATATAGCATTGAGTGTTGCGTACGCTACCTATTAGTTTCGTAGTTTATTTATTCATTAATTAATATGTTGATAAATAAGTTGATGATGAATATTTTACCGGTCTTTGTTACTTTTATATTATTTATAGAAATATAGATTGAAGTTTCTTAAAAACATTAATTAATTTTGAAGTTTCTATTTTACCAATGGTCCATATATTGTAGTTTTTTCGGTTAAAATATGATTTGGAATATAGGCAGAGTTCTTGATTCATGGCCTATACACTAATTCTAACTATTTTTTAAAAAATTCTTTTTAAGCAATCCTCAAAACTTCCTCTTAAGTGAGTCAGAATTAATGTTAAGTGAGTTTAACCTATTATAAAATTTTAATTAACTTTTAAAAATAATATTAATTAGAAAAAAAAAATTCATCTCCCTATATTCCCATGATTATAACAAAAAATTTGTTTTGTCTTTTTCAGATTATATAATTTTTAAATAATAAATGATTTTCAAATTATATAATTTCAAAATTATTTATTTAAAAGAAATAATTTTAAATTGCATAAAGTAAAAAACGATTTACGATTCTAAATATATGGTTCTAAAAATATATTTAACTTAAATATAAAATTATATATATTATATTATGCGTGAGTGAATTTTATTTTAATTCTATTATTATAAAGATACTCTTATCTATAATCATAAATATCATTTTCAATTGGGTTAAATATGTTTTTAGTCCCTAAACTATTGACCGTTTTTGGTTTTCGTCCCTCTTCGAAAATAAGATACAATTTGGTCCTCATTCTTTAGAAAAACGTTCGTTTTAGTCCTCAAAATTTTGTTTTTAGTCCTCAAAACGTTCGTTTTTTCGACTAAAACGAACGTTTTTTAAAAATTGAGGACTAAATTGTACCTTACTTTGGAAGAGGGACGAAAACCAGAAACGGTCAATAGTTTAGGGACTAAAAACATATTTAACCCTTTTCAATTTATGAACACAAAATATACTAAAGAAAACTTAATTATGGTGAAAGCACTTCTGAGATAAAATTGACCAAGGGAGAGCATGTGTAAACTTAGCAATAAAATATACCTATAAATATAATACTATTTGTATTTTTACAAATGTAATGTTATGAAGTAAATGTGCGGGGATAGCTCAGTTGGGAGAGCGTCAGACTGAAGATCTGAAGGTCACGTGTTCGATCCACGTTCACCGCATTTTTTAATTTTATTTTTCCTTTATCTAGGCTTGGGCCTATGAATGATTCATTACGTTGGCAGAACACGAGATTTTTGTTGATCCATTTTTTATTTAGCCTAGTTGATTTGACCGAAAGATTATACGAATCAGGGTCACTTATTTTCAAGCAAGTACTAAATTTTCATTACTTTGTAGTTTTATCGTTTAATAATTGTAAAAGTGGTACAGTTTCTTGTGTAAAGTTATTTATTAATTAGTTATAGATGAAGTAATACGTAGAAAAATATGAAGTAACGGCGGAGCCTTTTTCAATTTTTATCAAGTTTAGGTTTTCAATAATTCATTATTTCTTTTCAATGAGCATGAACACTAATAAGTTGAACTAATGCTTCAAATCAATTTGAAGATGGACAAACAAGAGAAACACAATAAATAAAAGTTAAAATCACACATTAATGTATATACTAATTGTAATAAGGTAAAAAAATTCTAATAGATACTTAAATAAGACAAACGAAACTCAATGATATATGAAATAAAATATATCCTCCAAACTAGTTTCTTTGCACATATTTGTAAATGATATACTAATTGTTTTTTTCTTCTTCATTCTCTTTTACTAGTTCTCATTACTTTTGTTTTTCTCACAATATGCACTCATAACTATTGTCTTTTTTTAACTCAATAAAAATATATCTCTTTTTCTTAATTAAATATGTGAATCTAATAAATTAGTAACTCATCTAACAAATCTCTCATTTACCAATTAATTGAGTCATATTAAATTTAATGAGCATTCTCTTTTTGGAGATATAAGTTTTCTTGGAAGTAAAATCTTTATTATCATATTCGACTCATTTTCGTTAATGTTGATTTTTCTAATGATAATTATTCCATCTCTAATACATCTCGCATGCAGTAATATTTTTACTTCAATATGCTTTGATCTTGAATACAAGGTTGAGATTGCTAATGAAAAATACAAAAAATCTTGAAATTACCGATAGATTTTTATCGATGAATATATTTTTATCGGTAATGCATATTATACTTACTGGCGGATTTTTCCGTCGGTAAATGAGACATGCATTACACATGTGACAATTTTTCGACATATTTTTTCATCGGTAAATTCGTCGGTAACATGGGATAGAATTTTCTCGCCCATTTTTTTATTTATCGACGTAAATACCGATAAAAAGTTTTCGTCAGTAATTACCGACGACACTATCGACAGTTTGGCCGTTAGTAATTTACTGACGGAACAAAAAATATCGATAAATTTGTCGATATTTAAGTACATCCTAAAAGCTCAATCGAGATCCCTCCAAGGATAATCAACTTAAGCTTGGGCTTGGAGAATGGAAGAAGAAGAAAGACTTCAAGGACTTGTACTCCATTAGAAGATGTATTTTCAAGCTTGTTGTTACTTTCTCTTAAGTCTTGTAAATGTGTAATATAGTTCATTTTATGTCTTTTATTTGGCCAAGAACTTTGTTTAGGTTTGTTTAGAATACTTGATGCCCTTAAGAGTAGCTTAGAGCATCATTAGTGTCTTAATAAAGTACTTAGCGCCTAAATGAGTTTTATTTTGAGTTTGGAAGGGGTTAGTTATAAGGAGCCTCTTCATTTAATGCTTTGACCAAGTTAGTTAAAGCATCCTCATTTAATGCTTTGACTAGTTAGTTACAAGACTTCCCATTTAATAATATAGATTGTTTGACTAAGTTAGTTATAAGCATACACATTTAATGTTTTGGCTCCTCCATGAAATGCTTTAGGCTCCTTTTTGTACTTTAGCCTTCTCCTTCATCTATACAAGGAGAGACACCCTATGTATAATTCTTAGAACTTGATTGAATGTAAAAATACTTTGCCAAATTTGCAAATCTTCTCTTCTTGAATTCTCACTTAAGATAGGTATTCTATTAGGGTGTGTTTACTTTGGAGGAATGATTTGGAGGAATGATTTGGAGGAGAGTGAGTGAATGAATTTGAGGATAAATTAATGATTATTTATTTAAGTGGATTTGGAGGTGAGTGAGAATGGATCTGAAAGTAAAATTTGTAAGAATTAATATAGGATTTGACCGATGTGACATATAAAAAAATTGTTTAATTAATAAAAAATAAAGATTACCAAAATACTCAGTTATTAAAGTAATATAAAATAATAATTATTAATATTATATTTAATTGTAAAAATGTTTATAAAGAGAAAAAAAATAAAATTTAATTTTTATAGATTATATCTATATTTTAATTTGAAGTTTAATATTTAAGAAAATGTTTTCTATTTGCTAATCAATAAAGTGAAATAATATTAATTATTTTTGTAATCATTTTTTTATAACCTGAGTTATTATAATTTTTTAAAAATAATAATCAGTTTATTAAAAAGTTAAAGTTAAAATTAATTTTAATATATGTAAAAAATTAATTATATGTTTTAAAGTTATCTTAAATAATTAAATGAAAAGAAATATGGTTGTTGATATAAAAATTGTTATAGAATAAGAAACTGTTAAATTTAACTAAATGACATTAAATTATGTAATATGAAAATAAAAAAAGAATAACGAAGGAAATATATACTTTAACTATTTATAATGTAAAAATAAAACAATTTTGATGTGTAGGGAGAAGTAATTGTGCTTTGTTATTTCGAGTTGAATGTTGGGCTTGTTAATAGGGGTAGAAGAGGGTTTTCACCATAATTACCCTCAAATCTCATTGCATTTCCGGAGATGAAAAAAAAGTTTCATCTTGCAAATCAGCGCTAATTATTTGTTCCAAATCCCTTGATATGAACACAATTAATCTTTCAAATTCATCTCCTCTTAACTGTACTTTGTCTTCAAACAAACACAGTGTTAGACTTCTTCATCCTTTCTCCTTCAAGGTTGGCCCAACCTCCTTAGAGGAACTACACTAAGAGTATTTAAGTATTCCATGTCTCATAGAGTTTCCTTTATTGTTTATTTAAGTATTCATTAGAATTTTCTTACATTGTTATCCATTAAAAAGAGAAATTTTCTATTAATCTTTGGAAGCCACAAGAGAACTTGTGATATACTCATTAATTATTAGATTTAATCATACATATGGTTACTTTGTGGTGACTTTTCTCAAATAGGTCCTCGTTTATTTTTGTCTTAATTAGGTTTAATTTTCACAAATTGAACTAATTAGGTCTTTAAAAAAAATATTTTCTTTTAAATTTTTTAAATATTTTTTAATCACTTTTACTTTATTTCTATTTTTTTAAAAATAAAAATTGTCATGTGCCAAATTGACATGGTGTCACGTGGCAATCACAGTGTGAACCGAACCGAAGCGAACCGAGCCGAACTAAACCGAGCCGAGACGAGCCAAACCTAGCCAAGTTGAATCGAGTTGAGACGAACCAAACCGAGCCAAGTCGAACCGAGTCGAACCGCATCGAACCAAATGGAACAGAAGTGAACTAAGCCGAACAAAGCCCAATAGAGTTGACATGAGTCGAGCCAAGCCAAGCGGAACTGAGCCGAGCTGATCCCATCCGAGCCGAGCCAAACAGAATCAAGTCGAACAGAACCTAATCGAAACAAATTGAACCGAAGTGAACCAAACCCAACCGAGC